ACACACACACACACAGAGAGAGAGAGAGAGAGAGAGAGAGTGTCAATGAGAACGATGCCTGCCTCTGGTACAACTCTGTTGCCTGGCACAATGGAGAGCAGGCACTATACTCCAAGGATCCCTGATTTTGTCATTGGTAACATCATCACCCCCAGTCCTCACTGAGGGCCCAGCCTATCTCCTCTTGCCCTGGCTCATAAGGCCCTGTGGGGGTCAACTGGACAGCCAGAAGGAGCATTTCAGTTATAGACCAGGCCCAACACTGCGAGCACATGCAGTGCAGGTACAAGGGAGAGGGTGAGCCCCGCTGCTGATGTGTGCGGGCCCATCCCCGCACCGCAGCAGGCCATCCAGATCCACAAGGCCTTGGCCGAATGCCTCCTCATCTATGTGGACCAGTTTATGAGACAGTTGAGATCATTTGTGGTGGCAGATGCCATACAGAGAAGCATAAGATTTTAAAAATAAAAGAACATGGAGGAGGTCTGAGACAGAGATAAGGAGGAATTATTTCCTCTGTTACTTCCCAACATCTAGAGCTGTAGCCCATCAAAAGGATATATAAGCAGAACTATTCTAGTGTTGGAACCAAAACCATACACCAGGTTCAGAGACTCTAATGCAAACTCTCCCCCCATGCACCTATACTGAAATTTCATTTTAAGGCTTTATCCTGTCTCTACATGACAGTGATTTTTGACTGAGCTAAGCAAGTCCAAAGAGTCTTTGGTTCAGAGTTGAAAAGTAACCCAAGTCTCAAGTAAACACAAACTTGGATTCCACAAGACACTATCTGCATCAGAACATTACAAAACATTTCTGAGTGTCAGCAGCCACTTACTGCATGAGATGTATCTAAAATCACTTTGGAGAATGCAGGATGGAGACAGTAAGTATTATGGACTGTAGATACGGAAAACAAGAAATACAGTTTAGTTTTGGTCCTTTATTCCCCACAAAACCCTTCAGATGAAGAAAGTGAAGTACTATTAAAATATTCCAAGCAAGATTTTGCTCCCTAATTTACACCCACATATATGGCTGTTATTCTTAGTTTCTTTACAGGTGTATAGAGCTCAGCAGCTTCCCCTGATAGCCTTAGTTGGCTTCATTCATCCCTGAATGTACTATCTTCTCTCTACCTGCTCCCCCAAACTAGATTTTTTGCATACTTGCAACTCTTCTTAATGATTATCCAGTTGGAAGTGATTTTCCCCAGCTCAGGCAATTTCTGTAATTCATTGCAAGGAGATAAACAAGGACCAGATAGAGAGGTACCTTATAGAGCATACAGTACAGTACACAAAGAACCAATCCTGCCCAATAAAAATCAAGGAAAAGTTACCCCAATTTCAGATTTAAGTGTTACTACATTTCAAAAACTGACATGTAACTGAAGGACTGTGATAAACTGAATCCTCCCCTCCCACCTCAAAGTTTACTGCACTATCCATTAAACCACTTCAGCAAATGCCCACTTGGAAGTGTAACTGCCCTGAGTACAAACATTCAATCCTTTTTAAAACCTTTGAACAATTTCTTGGTAACCAGTGTCTTGTCCTGGGCAAGGAGATCATAGCTCCACTGCCTGTCCTGCAAACACAGTGTCTTCAATTGGCTGGTAATGTTGGGTGCACACTAATTAGGCAATTAAGAAAGAACCATGGACTATCAACATAGTACCAAGTATCAAGTGATCCTGAATCATCCTTTCTAGGACATGAACCAGCAAACGGAACCACCTGACTGTCTCTGTTCATTAAGGCTTCCAAAGAAAGTCCCTATTTCTCGGTTTCTTTTCCAAAATTCTGTACAGATTTTAGAGAATCTACTGGGTTCCAAATCAAATCACTGTTTCTTTTGCAGGCAGCACATTGGGAAGGCAGGAAAAGAGTTTCCTCTCCTCCCACTGAAGAAGGGTGTTTCCTAAGGGGAGCATCATAGACACCACGTCCCAGAGGTTTTTGTGCAATTCCTGAGGGGCTGTAAGAAAGGAATGCTACATTAAAGCTAGCAAGACCATCGGATATTATTATTCATGCTAGCAAAATGCCCATCATGAATGACAGCGGGGACAGGACAGAGACCAGTATCTGGCCCTATGCCCTCCCCCACACCCCTGCCGCTGTTCTGGCTCCAGTCCTGCACCCTGCTGCTCCGTGCACAAGGAGACTTGGCGCAAGGGTGCACAGGGGTGGGATGGTGCCCAGCTGCAGGGTGCGGCACAGGGAGGAGCCACAGCATAGGGAGTGCTCGATGGCTACATGGCATGGGGAGCAGCCTTAGGGTGTGATGCAGGGCGTGCACAGGGGGCTGTGGCATGCTTGAGGGAAGTGGTGCACAAACGTAGGGCAGGATATGGAGTGGGGAACAGCCCCAGAGAATGGTGCAAGGTGCATGAAGGTGTGTGGCACATGGCTGCAAAGGGGGGTGGCATGGGGAACACCTGCTGGTTGTTTCCGCATGGTGTGGGGAGCAGCCCTGTGGGGGGGTGGAGGGCACGCTGGGAGGCATCGCATGAGGCTGTGTGGGGATGCCATGCAGTTGCAGCCATGTGGCACGGAGACTGGCTCCAGGATGCAGTGCAGAGCACGCAGAGGGAACGTGGCATGCAGGGTGTGTTGCATGGCCACAGGGCATGGTGTGGGGACAGGCCACAGTGGGGGGATGCCCACTGGCTGCGGCCACACGGTGTGGGGCTTGGCCCGGGGTGTGGCACTGGGTGCGCAGGGTGACAGCTGGTGGGCACTGCCTATGCCCCCTGCCCTGGCCCGCTCACCCTCACAGCAACCTGCAGCCACGCCCCACATATTCTGCGGCCGCAGATGGCAGGCACTCCATGCACAGAGGGGAGGACATTGCACGTGGTGGGGGTGTGGCGCATGGTGCCACGCAGGGAGCATGCATGGGGGACGTGCCCTGCCTCATCTTGCCCCATGTGCTGTATTTGGTGCTTGCTGCCCACACCCCCGGGCTTGCTGCCTGCCACACCTCCCGCCCCCTGCCTGCCATGCACCTGGGCAGGCACTCCCCGGGGTGGGGGGGGGGTGTCCACAGAATGCCACCCCATGGACGTGTGCTGCAGTTGGAGGACACTGCCAGCGCCACCCTCCTGCCCACTTCCTTCATGGTACCCTGTAGTGGTGTGCCACGCCACAACCCTGCATGACCATGTGCTGCTCCCCACCCCCCGTCACAATTCAGGCCACCGCACAGCTGGTCCCTACGCCCTGCAGTAGGGAGCACAACCTGACCCCACCCTCACCTGTCTGTCTGTTTTTCCTAAGGTTCCAGGCCGCTCATGCACAGTTGGCCTGGAGTATTGGACAGACAGACAGAAGTGGTAAGACTTTTATTATATTACAATAGCCAGGAAAAACTACAACTAAAAAACAGTAACTCATAAAACAAACAGGTGCAGAAGCTTGACAAAACCAGAGTTCCTGAAAGTAGCTGCCCTATGTATGCATCTGTGGGACTCTCATACTCTATAACAGGCTGTCTGAACCAGCTTCCTGTCACATGCACATGGTTCCAAACCATTATGCAGGTGACCAGAATTATTAAAAATTGGCTTTAAGATACCAGAACAAAGAAACTTCTGTACCTGGCCTAAGAGCTGTTACAAGGTTGAGAACCTCATTTAAAAAAAAGTCTTCAACCCTGATCAGATGTGGACTTTAGCCAAAATAAGACTGAGTAAAATCATATCCTCTTTGATATCTCTTGGTGGTTATGACATCTCAATCATACCCTTTCAGCATCAACAAACTATTGTCTACTGAATTGCATGAGCACTTGGACCGCTTGCTTCATAAATTACTTCCAACTTTGAAGGGATACAGATGGAGCTAGCTTCAAAGGCAGTGGCAGCATGATCCTGGTGATGAGACTAAAACAAATTGCTTTCAAAGTGCATCTTGGATGGCACTGGAGGGAAACATATTATCAGTCCCAAAATGAGGATACCTGTGAAAAAGGATGGAGATGGTTCCAAGCTGGAAATCAGTAAACATAATGGGAAGGCTAACAATTCAAAGTGAGCTCAAACCTGAGGCCCAGAATTATGGAGAGATTTAGAAGCATGTGGACTGGAGCATTTTTTTCTGCCTCTGTCCAGTTGGCAGTATTAGGGACATGCACCAGTGCAGAGCCAAGGGGCAGTGCACTTCCGGTAGCTCATCAGACTACTGGTGAGCTGGATCTGGCCTGTGGGCTGTATGTTTGACACCTCCTGGTTTAAAGGATGGTTATTACATTTAGATTTCAATAGTCTTTATTTAAAATTAGGAAATGCTAAATTTTTAATTCTAGGTGTTGTACTTATAAATGCATTTCCAGATAAGGTTATGCTGATCTAAATCACTGTGCAGCTTAAGTTTCTCAGTTCATTGAATATATATAATTTTAATATAAATCTTTGAATCACAGAAAAATTCATACTTAAAATGTTGTAAACAGGATAACTTCTAAGAGAATTAAATTACTTTCTTACAGTTACCTTGATCAACTCCAGTTAGCTGATGATTAGATGTAAAATAATTGGCAGGTTCTTCAGCATCTTCATGCCCATATTCTTCTGCTAACGGCTCAGCAAGCACAGAGGGCTTGTCACGTCTTGAATAGATAAACTGAGCTGCTACAACATTAGTAAAAAACAGAACATTTAAAATGTTTTCCCATTCTTCAAACACAAAAATCTAACTTCAGAGGAAAAACAGTTGATTTGGAAAAGAAAAAAATACAAATCTCATTTTAAACATATTATTTTAAGATGTTCAAATGGATAGTCACTGTCTAATTAGCAATTTTGGATGGTCCCTCATTATTAAAGGTGAAATGTCCAGGGAGAAAGCAATATCTATGCATCTCTGAATATCATGTACAGTTCTATCCAGTTCAATAGTCAACCAAAATCACCTTACGCAGACTAAAAAACTGAACATTTGTATGGATCAACATTTCTCACAGTTTGTTTGTTTTTAACCTGTGACCCAATCTTTATATTTATAATCACATCATAGAACCCTTTGCAGTGTTTAAACTTAAAAAAAAAAAGTGAGCACTACATAATTTGTTAAAAACCACAACAGTGTATTCTCAAAGTAACATTTATCTGTTTTTAATATTAATTCATAATCGTTTAATTTGATGAATTCATCCATTTTTCAGTTCTTAGGCTTCAGTTTCTATAAATGTATGCCACAGTTCAACATACTTCAAGTATATGCTTAACTTAAAGACATGAGTAATCCAATCTCTAATTAACAAGAGCATAATCATGTGTGTGTGATTTATGGAAGCTGGACCTTAGTTATTATTCATAATTTTCAGTTTATAAAACATATGGACATAGGCAAAATAAACAGCCATTCAGAATTTGAACAAATATTCATTCTCTCCACTATGTAATATTTGTCCAGTCCTAGCATTTGTACTAATTCATATACTTTACAATTTCACATAAAAAAATAGTTTTCCAAGTACAGGCAGTCCTCGACTTAGGCGCTGGGAGTTATGGCGATTTGCACTTGCGGCACTCCGCCATTTACACCCATGTTATTACTTACAGCACTACAGGGAAATTTACCATGAGAAAAAGAGGGCAGCAAAACAAACATCCCTGGATCAGTTTCCCAAAAAGCCATCAAGTGGCCCTAAGTCTCCCCAAAATCTCCCCAAAGAAGCCCTTCTGAATTCCATGACCCTGATGAAGGTGTTCCTTCACATTCTGATTAAATAAAATTTTGTGATTAGTTACTGTATTGCCCTGTTTAATCGATTTATATACAGTACACTTTGGAAAGCTGTGTACTGTACAGTGTATATCATTTATAGTTGATTAAATAGTTGATTTAAATATGGTGCTTATGGTCATTTCTATAAAAAGTTGGGCATCAGGCCCTTGGTCAGGAACATAACCCCCTATTATAACATTGTTTCTATGGGAAAATCAGATTCAACTTACATCATTTTGACTTACAGTGCCTTTTCCAGGAACATAACCCACCATAAGTGCGAGGACTGCCTGTATGCATGATCTAGCATACACTCTAAAATCACTGAATGTAAAGAACAGATATAACAATTGTATAGCCATCAAAGGATATCAATATCCTGCTCCATCTGCATGATTCTGCATTTATACAAGAGTAGCAAAACTTCTCCATTCAGGGTCAAAGAGCAACTTAGCTCACTTTCATAGATACCGGAGCACTCGGCATAAAAGAACCGAACAGCTGATGCAGCAGCAGCTCCCCATTTTTAAAGCAGATAAAATGTATATTTGTCCAAAGCCTTAGTTGCTGCAGCTATTTACATTTAAACAAAACAACTTAAAAAAAAAAAAGCTCTGCATGCAGGTTTAAATATTTTTTAAATTAAAATCCTAGCAGGGTCCCTATTTTGTAGGGACATACATCCCAGGGCAGATTTGTGACGTGTTGAAAAACTAAATACAGTTCGTGTTTTGTTTTTTTAATTTGTCTAGAAGGACACAAATCCACCAACAGTTCATTTAAAAATGAAAATGAGTTAATTTAATTTAAAAATAAGGGAAGGTGAACATAAATAATGTAAGAATGCCTGTGTGACTACTTACTATCTGAAACAAAAATAAAAACATTGGCTGTGGGACAGAGAGTAGGTGGTAAAAGATAAGTATTTAGTGGAGGCACCTATATACCCAACTCCCACTAAAGTTAGAGGGGAGTGAAGTGCCTATTGCAAATTGCACAAAGTGGCAAATCTGCACAACTAGCTATGCAAGTATCTTTTAATGTTGCTTTGTTCTAGAAATAAATCTTTTATTGTATTGCAATTGCTACCCCAGTCCCTTGTCACGCTGCACAGCCAACCTTGTCTTAGTTAATTCTTATTTTTGTCCCATAAAAAAGCCTCGTTTATATTCCCTGCCGTGCATATTTATGCAATTTACTCCAAGTGAGGATTTTATAGATAAACTTCTGGACTAACCTGTTGATGGAGAAATACAATAATCATCTTCTACTGATTGGCCATAAAGGTCTTCATCTTCAAAATCTAAGCAGCAAAAAAGCAAGAATTAGTCCACTCAAATTTAACCTATATATATTTAAAATACTTGAACACCCTTTCTCTAGTCTAAGTATTCAATTGCAATATTGCAGAAATACAAATACTAAGAGGTGCTGGCTGCAGGTCAGAATAATGATTTACATACTGGTGACATTCAACCAGCCATCTATTGGGCAACAAGGAAGAATTCAAGAACTTTCTTTAATGGCTCTTTTATACCTTAGTATCCTGGGAGCTAAAAAGTATTTCAGATATGTCCTCTGTTGGCTTCTGTGACTGTCCTCTCCTAGCTTCATGATGCAGAGTATTCTTTCTTCACTCTTAATATAGGATTTTTCTTCACTCTTGATATAGGATTTCTCTCTCTGCATTTCATCTATAAATCCCTATGGAACTACAGTCCAAACCACACACAACAGTGGGATGGGATGGTGTTCAGAAAAGTTTACATGTGCAGGATGGACAGTTAGCTAATCCTTCTAGTCATATCAGCTACTGTGCTACAGGCAGTTATGAACGTGATCAGTTCTTTCTGAAGCTGCTGTCAGAGGCCAAGCATACTGAGTAACTGAAGCTGAGGATGCCGGAGGGAGCACACCATGCCCCCGGTATCCCCCAACCCTTGAGACAGCAGCAGCAGCAATTGGCAGCTAAGAGACAGCTGCGGCAACAAGAAGGTCAGCCACGGGAAGGGAGCGAGCGGGGCCAGGTGTTGGCAATCGGGCCTGACCCTATTTAGCTGCACCGGGTGGGAGCCGCGCGAACAGGGAGCGCAAACAGGTGTGCTCTTTAGGGGCGCGCCAGAGTTTGCACCGGGGAGGGAGAGGGCTAGGAGCTTAGAGGCCCAGGAGTCGACTTACCAGGGATCCCCTGGTGGGATAAGTTCCAGCTGACAAGCGGGGATCCCGCAGGGGGCAGGGCTGCAGGCAGACACAGCTGACTGACGGGGTCAGCTGATTGTCTGATGGGCCCTGCTGACTCGCCTGGGAAATTTGAACTCGGGTTAAATTGGCCTGCCAGACCAGCAGTTGGCTGAGGACACCAGAGGGAGCACACAGTGCCCCTGGTATCCCCCAACCCTTGAGACAGCAGCAGCAGCGATTGGCAGTTAAGGGACAGCTGGGGCAACGACAAGGTAAGCCAGGGGAAGGGAGCAAGCGGGGCCAGGTGTTGGCGATCGAGCAGGGGACTCTTTCCCTGCCTGACCCTATTTAGCTGCACCGGGTGGGAGCCACGCGAAAAGGGAGCGCAAACAGGCGCACTATTTAGGGGCGCGCCGGAGTTCGCACCGGGAGGCCACAGGCAGTGGAAGAGCCAACAGTGGCAGCAGTCGTCTCCAGGTAAGCGCGTGGGGGTGAGAGCATGGGAGTTGTCACGCGGCGTGCAGCCAGGGCTCCTGCCCCACAGCTGCCTCCTGGACCGGGGACCGGTAAGGTTTCCACGCAGGTGGGGCTACCTGCCTGTGGGGGCTGCCTGGCTTGGTCCCTTGGGCTGGGGGGAGGGGAGGACACGGAGGCGGGGGCTCCTCTCACCTGTCCCACCTGTGCCAGGATTGCGGCGCTGGAGGGGCAGGTGAGAGAGCTCCAGGCGGAAGTGAGCAGGCTGTGGGGGATCAGGGCCATGGAGGACGAGATTGACGGGTACTCTGTCTCTCTGCAGGGCCTGTCCCCTCAGGCTGTCACCACCCAGGAGTCTGCAGGAGGCAAATGGAGGACAGTCACCTCCAGGGCCAGGCGGCGTCACAGGCAGTGTGTAGCTGCATCAACTGTCACCCCAATACAAATGGGGAACAGGTATGCAGCCCTGGCAGCGCTGGAGGAGACTAGGCGTGAGGAAGAAGGAAGGGAGGAAGCCACGCCCTCATCCAGCAAGCCATCATCCATACCAACTGATCATCATCCAGTCACCCAGAGGAAGAGACATCGGGTCATTGTCATAGGGGACTCCCTCCTCAGAGGAACGGAAGGACCCATCCACTGCGCAGACCCCAATGTGAGAGAAGTGTACTGTCTCCCAGGAGCCAAGATTGGGGACATCACAGGGAAGATCACTGACCTCATCCGGCCTTCCGACTACTATCCTATGGTCCTCATCCATGTGGGAACCAATGATGCAGCCCGGAGCAGTCCCGACCGGATCATGGATGACTACAGGGCTCTGAGGACCAAGTTTAGAGAATCGGGGGCCCAGGTGGTCTTTTTGTCCCTCCTCCCGGTTAGTGGACGCCGTCAGTGGCAGAGCGCCTGCATCCGTGAGGTGAACCGGCACCTCTGGAGTTGGTGTCGTCATGCCAGATTTGGCTTCCTGGAGCACAACCCACACTTCAGATCAGAGGGCAACCTGGGGCATGATGGCCTCCATCTCTCCCCCAAAGGTAAGAGTTTGTTTTCTTACAGGCTAGTTGACCTCCTCCGGTGGGCTTTAAACTAAGCTCATCGGGGGATGGGGACCCACTGGAGCAAGAAAAAACTCAACCAGGTGTAGGACCTGCCCAGGTAAGAGCTCAGGTATATACCAAGGGACCAGTTGTCTCTCAGGTAGGGGAAGTGCCCAGGGCTCCCACAGGGGGATTAAGGTGTCTCTTCACTAATGCAAGAAGCATGGGGAACAAGCAGGAGGAGCTTGCTCACCTGCTTGCAAGTAGTAAAATCCACCTAGTTGGCTTAGTGGAGACGTGGTGGGATGAAATATTTGACTGGGCATTAGACATAGAGGGCTATAGGTTGTTTAGAAATAGGAAGGGGAAAAAAGGTGGGGGGGGTGCGCTCTATGTTAGGGAACAGTATACCAGTTCTACCTTCCAAATGGGACCAGAGGAAGGCTTAACTGAGACCCTGTGGGTCAAACTTCAGGGAGGGCGGGGGGAGATCTGGTGGTAGGGGTTTACTACAGGCCACCACATCAGGAGGAAGAGCTGGATCTGGGATTCTCCAGGCAGCTTGGGAAGGCCGTGCGTGCAAAGGATGTTGTGGTCACGGGGGATAAGAATTACCCTGACATCAACTGGGAGGAGCAGTCGGCCAAGCCTAGCCACTCACAATGGTTCCTGACATGCGTACAGGACCTACACCTCGTGCAGGAGGCAGTCGACCCCACTAGGGGAAATGCCATACTGGATCTGGTGTTAGCCTCTGGGGATGACCTGCTGGGGGATGTGCTAGTACAAGGGAGACTAGGGGACAGTGATCATGAAATGATCCAGTTTGCTATTCAGAGGAAGGTGGGGAGGGTAACTAGCACAGCGCAAATGCTTGACTTTAGGAAAGCCAACTTCAGTGTGCTCAGAGCAGTAGTCAGGGAGGCACTCGGAGCCCAGGGTGTAACTAGTGTGGGGGTCCAGGAAAGGTGGTCCTTCCTCAAGGAGGCTATCCTTGGGGTGCAACAGGACGCAATTCCACTGTGCAGGAAGATGAGAAAAGGGTCTAAGAAACCTTCATGGCTGAGCATGGATATCCAGACTGGCCTGAGGGCAAAGAAAAAAGCGTACTGGCAGTGGAAGCAGGGGGCAGGGACAAAAGAGGAGTACACCTCCCTGACCCGAGCTTGTAGGGATTTGGTAAGGGAGGCTAAAGTAGCACTGGAGCTTAGATTAGCTGGATAACAAAAAGTTCTTCTTCAAGTACATAGGTAGCAAGAAGAAGTCTTGGGGTAACATTGGACCCCTACATGGAGAACCTGGAGAGGGTCCAGAGGAGGGCCACTCGTATGGTTGGGGGCCTCCGTGCCCAGCTCTATAAGAAGAGGCTGAGGGACCTGAATCTCTTCAGTCTCTGCAAAAGGAGACTGAGGAGGGGTTTCTTCTGGCTGCCTACAACCTTATCAGGGGCCACCAACAGGGACTCGGGGAAAGTCTGTTCACCAGGGCCCCCCGTGGAGTCACCAGGAACAATGGCCACAAGCTGAGGGAGGATAGGTTTATGTTGGATATTAGGAAGAACTACTTCACTGTAAGGGTGGCCAGAGCCTGGAGTAGGCTTCCCAGAGAGGTGGTGCTCTCACCTTCCCTGGAAATCTTCAAGAGAAGACTGGACAGGCACCTGGCTGGGATCTTATGACCCCTCCCACCCCCAGTGCTCCTTCCTGCCCATGGCAGGGGGTCAGACTCGATGATCTGTCTAGGTCCCTTCCGACTCATTGATTCTATGATAAAAATGCAGAGTTGGAAGGGACCTCAGAAGTTCATTTCACCCAATCCCATCCCTGACTAAAACCATCCAAATCAAATGGTTGTCCTGAAAACCTACTCCTGAAAATTTCCAAGGCTGGATATTCCACATCTCTAGGTAGCCTGGGGTCCAATATTTAACCACCCCCCCAATGAGAAAGTTCTTCCTAATATCTACCCTAAATTTTACCCGATACAACTTGCCACCATTGCTCCTAGTGCCATCACCTATGGCCACAGAGGACAGTCTCTCTCTATCCCTGTTACAACCACCCTTCAGGTCCTTGAAGTTATCAAATCTCTGTTTAGCCTTCTTTTTCAGAATACATCATTCTAGTTCTTTCCATCACCAAGTCACATTTTCCAGGCCTCTAATCATTTTTGTCACACTCTGATGAACTATTTCCAGACTGTCCACATCTTTTTTCAAGTGTGGGGACCAAAACCGGACAACATATTCAAGATGAGGCCTCATCAGTAATGATTAGAGTAGACAGATCGTGTCCCATGATTTGCAGTAACACTTCTGTTAATGCATCATTTCATTATTTTTCTTTTTTTGCAACAAGAGCACACAGTTGGCTCACATCCAGCTTATGGTCTACTGTAACACCCAGGTCCTTTTCTGCAGTACTGCAGCCTAGCCAGTTATACCTTAGTCTGTATTTGTGCGTGCAATTGTTTCAATCAAAGTGCTGGACTTTGTACTTGACCTTTTCATCTGATTGATTTTGGATCTGGATTTCTCTATTTTGTCAAGGTCATTCTGAATCCTAGTCTTATTCCCCAGAGGGTCAGCAACTCCACCCAACTTGATGTCCTTCACAAATCTGCTAAGTGTACACTTAGTTCCATCCTCCAAATTAAGGAAGATAGATATTCAACAATCCCAGAGTGAAAACAGACCACTACTCAATACATCTTACCAATTAGACACCAATCCACTAATGAATCCTCATGGGGCACAATGTTTCATCCAGTTATACGTCCACCTTACAGTGCTTTCACCTGTCTATATTTACTTAGCATACTGGTTTCAAACTCAATTGGCCTCCTGTCCAGTATGCAAGGCTAGTCCAAAGCATGCTACACACAGTGTGCAAGTCCAGTCTGAGACTGGAAGGTGACATGGTACAGCTCCACAGGTTAGATCCAGCCCACAGCCCATATCTTTGACACCCTGACTTAGTTTGTTAATGAGAAAGTCATGGGAGACAGCATCAAATATAATAAAGTTAAATATCAAACAAATTTATGTATTTACTAATATTTAGCAAATATTAAAAGTTATTATGCACATTGTTTAAAATCAGCTTATATACCAAATGAGCAGAAAGTTGCAAATACAGTAGCCAAACGTTAAAAAAGGATTAGCAGCGTTCTGGGAAGTGAAGGTCTCAATGATCTACCTTCATACTATGACTTGATACAGCATCACTGCTTTTGTAAAAGATAATCATGCCTGTCAGAATGAGTCGGAATTTTCTCAGTGTGTCAAAAAGTGGCTAAGTGATTAAAATCCAAAATATGGCAGACTCTTTACATAAAGCAACTAAGTAGCAGTCGGAGTGAAATATTGTCATGGATTAGAAAAAGTTAATATGAAAAGAACAAATGATTGCATGTAATATAGTCAAAGATTAATAGTGCAGTGCTCCAATCTTCCATACTAGGGCTGGTATATTTAAAATATACTTCCTATTAAAAGAATGGGCTGAGCAGCAATGTGAAAAACTTTGCACAAGAAAGCAAAATGTTTTGCTCAGCCAAGACTAGGAGAGATCACAAAAGAAAATGAGATACCCAGCAAGTCTAAATGATGGGTAACACAGTGGTAACTAAAATCCAGATCCTGACAAATGTACCTTGGAAAGAATAATTTTAAGTACCTATATAACCACGGTGGAAAAAAGACCAGACATCCCAGTGGACAGTACAGAATACTAGATTTAGGTAAGGAATAATCAACAGCACAAATATAAAATGGGGAATGACCGTTTGCAGAACCCCTTCAGAGGAGCCAGAAGTTGTGGCAGAATAGGAATTGGCAATCTTTTGCCCCTGTGGGCCTGAATTTGAGATCTAGTGCCCTGCCACAGATTGCATATCTCCACCCCTAACTCACTTGCCCTTATTCTCTCTACAGATACCCTGGCCTTCTGCAGTAAGACCTATTTCTTGTACCGAGTGATAGTGAGAGAGCGGCAACTCGGCCAAGGAGGCAGGTGTTGTAGAGGGAACAGACAACTTGGCACTGCAGTGTGCCAGCCCATTTCCTGTGCTACCTCAGAACAGCCTGGAGCTTCCCAGGCTGGATCTAACATCTTCATAGGCCAATCCAGTCCACGGGCCATAGGCTGCAGCCTCCTAATGTTGGCTCACATTCAATTTGTCCTCTACAATTTCATACAGCTGCAAAACAGGCCCAGCAACCTATTGTAAAAGCAGGTGTATCATACACAAAGAAATGATGTGCAAGACAAATGCCGAGATTTCCTTGGAGTCTCAGAACAGCACAGACTCCCTATGTCTGAAGATGGGTAATTGCGCCCAAAAGCTTGCCAAGAACTTTTTTCCATCTACTCAGTTGGTCTATAAAAGATATCACATCTACTTAAAGAACCTTGCCTGCTGAGATTTCAAGAAGAAATTCACAGCCGGGGTCTTTCTGAGGTCTCTGCCATTTTTACTTCTCTGCAGGCAAAAGAAGACTAAGCTGTGGCACTTGACTTTTTTTTTTTTTTTTTTTTTTTTTAACTTGAGGTGCTGCTGGGCAAGACAGAAAACGTAGACAGAATCTGAGACTGGGCATGATACCAAAGGCTGCCTGAAAAACTAGGCCCTTGGGAGCAGGCCCTGCCAATTCCACCTTGGGCAAGCCACACTACTGCCAGAAGGGCTTCAGCCATGACCCTCAACCCTGCTGCGCAGGCAACATCTGTCACGAGGTCCGGAGACACCCAGCTGGTGCCAGGGGAAGGCTGGCAATGGCACTGAGAGGAGACAGGAGCCTTGCCCAGGCAGCACCACGTGCCCGACCCGGGGCCGCCCCTACCCAGGTTCTTCTGCGCCACCCTAATTACGTCACGGGAGGGGCGGGGCCGCCGAGAAGCTTGAACGAACCAGAACGAGGCTGACGGGGGGGGT